GAACTTTTATCAAACTATAAACCCTCCCCAGAAGATACACATTATCACCCATCAAAATATATAAATGGGCCAATAACATTTCAAAACCCAAAGTGATCATCGAATATGTAATAGAAAAATTTATTCTCTAAAATAAAGCTGTTAAAATGGGCTATATAACCCACGGGCCCAATCCAACCTTAAAAAAATCTATACGTCATAAGAACAAATAAACAAAAAACAATAATGAGAATAGAAAAGACGATATAGACAAAGACAAAAACAAAAAATATATGTGTTGCGACTCCAACTAGTTAGGTTAAAATATCTCAATGTCAACATCATATATTTTTCGAGCTACCTTGCGAATGGCTAATCACGCAAGCACGTTCTTGGAGGTTGACGTTACACGTATATGGCCTCTTCTACAGTTCTACGTTCAAGATTAAACTTCTTCAACCTTTTTTTTTTTTTTTTTGAATAAATCTACTACGTACGTAGAATTGCGATAATTTTAGTTGAATCTTGTTCATCCATAAGTAGAAAAGGCACATCTGTTAGAAAGACTAAAACTGTTTTCTTATAGCTTCTCTGTTCGTGTTATAATTTGTATCCTTCTGATTTAAAATTTTCATCTATTTTGAACGAATTATTTTTTATTCCAAGTCTCAAGAGTCCGCACTGTTGCAAAACCTATTTGACGAAACTGGCTCCTTTAATGTATCCACCTTCTTCTTTACTAAACAAAGAACCAGACCCACCTTCTATTAACATATAAGAGATTAATTAGGATTAAGTTTCCTTTTGCTTAGTTCTTATTACCTTCTCATGTATAGTATATATACTGTTGTAATGTTACATTTGATCATTAATGAGAAATCTACTTTACAATTAATAAAATGTTAATAAAAGTGTTACCCTTTTGCGTTAATAGATTTTGATGGCAAGCAGTGTGGTTTCTAATGGTTAGTTGGTAGATCTAGGTGGGTAGGTGCGGTTCAAAGCAGAAAATAAATAAATTTACATGTAGTTTTGATACTGTTTTATCGGTCTTGCACCCATAATGTCTCTCGCACCCTATCGTCTCCATTCAAAGCATGTGTGACGTGTCTATATGATTATTTCGTACCTTTATATCTTATTAGAATTCATTATAGAATAGTTCCCCCTTAACCTAAGAGGGTTAGTTGTTTCTGAATGTTTTTGGCCATATGTGCACATTTGCGTATAATAAGTTCTAGAATACTAATGATTCGTTATTATATAATACTAGATCATCACCCGTACTATAGTACGGGTGAAATTTCATTTATTACAAATTTTATAAATTTTATGTTTTAGAATAAAGTTGTGATATATTATAATAGTAAGTGAAAAAATAACATTTTTTTTGTCATTCTCTATATATAATAATAAATTACCATATTTTCCTTTTTCTATAGTATTCAATTATGGATATTTTTTTTTTAAGATATGAAAACAGAAAATAAGATTATTTTTAAAAAAATTTAATATTGTTTGAACAATGAGTTAATTTATGTTAACAACCACAAAATGAGAGTGCATATAATTTAGTTAGATCAAAAATCAAAATATCATAAATGAATCGCATCTAAAACGTAGATTATTTTGAATTACTTAGAAAATTAGCTATTATTTTAAATTAATTTAGGAAATTATTTTTTCAAATTCTGATTCATTGGTTGTTGAAATAGAGATTTGTTTGAGCTAATTACGGAATTTACCAATTATTCACATAATCAAATATGTTATGAACATATATTTGGTATATAATAATACCAAATTCAATATGTGTGTGGAGTCTATATTTTCATTTTACAATCCATATAAAAATATTGCGGCCCAATCTATTATTTATTATTTTAAAAATTGTTTGAAGAATCAAATTTTCAAATATTTAGAAGTGTCAAACCTTATTTAACTCATCTCATCATAAAATCTTAAAATACCGTATGTTATAAGGATCATAACTTTCTACCATATAATACATTACATTTAACCCACCGCCTACTATAAATATTTTAAACATATCCATTTAGAAAATCAAATTAATGTATTTATAATTTTTTTTATCTTTTTAATCTATTAAATATTTATGATATTCTTTAATATATTAAATTAAACTATTTTAAAATGTTCCAAATTAAAATCTTTAAATTTTTTTATTGTATTGTGTAAAATTATGATTTTTTAAAAAAATGATATGAAATTAAATATAAATATTCAAATAGTTATAAGGATCATAACTCATTTCATCATATAATATATTATATTCAACCCGCTGCCTAGTATAAATATTTGTTTCAAAAAAATCAAATTAGAGTATTTATGATTCATAAATTTTTGATCTATTAAGTATTGATGATATTAAAAAAAAAGGAATATATTACTTAAATATTTATTTTTGACCCGTTAAATTTGTTCTTTCATACATTGAATAATTTATATTCGTTTTTAAAAATTCAAATCTTGGTATATGCGGAAAAAAATTTACTTTTTTTTTATTATATAGATGATATAATGATTTATTTATTTATAGAAAGAGAATCATATAAAGATGAGAGGTGAAGTATAATGATTAATAACAAATTAATATGGTAAGTTAGATATCAAATCTTATATGTTCATTTTGATTGGTCATTCTTTTTAAAGAAATTAATAATAGATTTTCGTTTTTATAATTAAATTAAATTAATTAAATTGCATAAAATAGTATTTGACTTGTTTATCCTTAATGAGTTGAATTAATTTACTCTATAAAATTTTATTTCTAATGGCATTCTTAAGTAAATTCTTACAAAGGGAAAGGTTAATTAAGGGTAATCCATAAATTGTACTCCCCAAATAATAGTATAGGATGTTACAAATGAATCTTTTATTAAATAAAATTTTGTAGTATAAATTCAAATATCTTCATCACTAGTATATCTCTACACGCAAATAAATTGGTATTTTTATTTTTTCAAAACTCTAAATTATAATATTCGATGTGACTTTATAATAATAGTTTAATTTTTTTCTTACAATTACATTCTCCGAACGGCACAAAAGAAAAAAGTGTTCTGATGTCACAAGCTAACTCTTGAAACTTGAAAGCATTATATAAATAAGTTTGAGTAAACTAAATAAATTTAAAACTATTTGAGTCTTTTAATAACGGAAGGAATCAAAATAATAGAGAATAATACAATATAATTTCTTATCGGTAGCTTGTAAGACTTTAGATCCATAGTATCTTCTATATTATCAGAACTCATAAGAATCTCGCAATGCATATAAATCCTATCCCCGCGCTTGTTGTAACGCATGAGAACACGCGCTCCTATTTGTGTGGACATGACCAATTTGGTTTGCCAATTAGATCACTGACGTCTCATCTCTTCCTACCCATATTGTCTAACCAATAATTGACCATCACATTAAAAGATTTTCACTTTTACACTATTGTTATTTTCACTTATTTGTTTTAACCGCCTTAACTTTTCAAATTATCACTACTAACCCTGAATTAAATTATGATTCTTAAACCGGATTTGGGCTCAGGTTTTTTTGTTATCTGAATAATGACAAAAATAAAGGATTTATTTATTTTTATTTTTTAACTAGATATTAGGCCTGGACAAATAAATGAACCACAAGAACCGAACTGGAACCGAAGCAAAAAGAACCAAACCGGAACCGAACCAAAATTTGGATCCTAAATTTTAGAAATGAAAGAACCGGAACCGGAACCGAACCGAACCGAAATATTTTGAGTACCCGAAAATATCCAAAATATGAGTTTATATCTAAAAATATTAGTTATTTTTATATCGGAAAACCAAAAATACCCGAAATACCAACAAATAATTGGAAAATATATCAAAAAATACTTAAAATATCAAAAAATACTCAAAAATATCCGAAAATACCCAAAAATATTCAAAATACCTAAAAGTATCCCAAAAAAATACCCAAATGGATCATAAACTTCAGAACCGAAAGAACCGGAACTGGAACCGAACCAAAATTGTTTGGTTCCTATATAGATCCTAAACTCTATAACCGAAAGAACCGGAGTCGATCCAGAACCGAACGAATACCCGAACGCCTAATCCTACTAGAAATGATAAAAATAAAGGATATATTAAGATAACTTTCCAGTTTTTTTTTTTTTTGGGTCAAGATTTCCTTCCTCTTTTAGAAATGATTGTATGTATTTCAGTCCAATTTTCTTTTCAATATCATTAAAAATGGACATGTAAAAGAGGAAATGTTTTTTTTTTGTCAATTATAGCTCAAGTGTTCAACATGTAGTTATTTTTGTTAACCCCCATATGCTATCTTATCTACAAAGAAGCCCATAAATCATTTATCTTCATTTATTTTAGATCCCCCTATATTTTTAATTCTTTTTTTCGGTTTAGATTCCGTTTCAACTTGTTGGATAAATATAAATTTTTATTATTTCGCTTTCATATCAAATTAATTTGGAGTTTTCCTATCTAAGGGGGTGTTATTGGTTTATTAATTTGTAAATCCATATAGAATTTGAAAATCTCTATTAATTATGAAATCAAGATATATGGATTTTGAAATAACATGTGTTTACCCATGGATTTGAATCCTTCTATTTTTCTCTTTCAATTCCATTCAAATCCATTTAAAACATAATTTGGATTCTCAAATCCAAAAACAAATGATTAAACGAATAACAAAGGATTTCAACTAGTATTTATAATTCATAGAACCAATAACACATGATTTTAATTAGGATTTTAAAATCAATGATTGAATAACAAATGATTTTTGTTTGGATTTCTAATTCCTTATAAATCCATGAACCAATAACCCCTCCTAAAATTGAACTTTCTAATGAAAATTCGGAATACGTCACAATTATATTAGATATTAAAAAGAGTGACAAACGAAACCATAAACATAGAAAAAAAACAATTATTACACTTATCTCATTTAGTCATTTGGCTTTATATATACCCCACCACCATCTCTTGTCCATCATACAATCGTCTTCTTCATCTTTTTCTCTTCTTCTTCTCCAAGAAAACAGTGAAGAAGAAAATGGGACTCCTTAAGCCAACCATGGCGATCCTTTTCCTAGCGATGGTCGCCGTTGCATCAGCCGTGGACATGTCAATCATCTCCTACGACGAGAAACACGGCGTCTCCACCACCGGTGGCCGTAGCGACGCAGAGGTTATGAGTATCTACGAGACCTGGTTGGTGAAACACGGCAAGGGTCAGAATCAGAACTCTCTTGTTGAGAAAGATCGACGGTTCGAGATCTTTAAAGACAATCTTCGTTTCATCGATGATCATAACGAGAAGAATCTTAGTTATAGATTGGGTTTGACTCGGTTTGCGGATCTTACTAACGATGAGTATAGATCCAAGTTTCTTGGAGCTAAGATGGAGAAGAAAGGTGAGAGAAGGACTAGCCAACGGTACGAGGCTCGTGTCGGTGATGAGCTACCGGAGTCTATTGACTGGAGGAAGAAAGGAGCTGTGGCTGAGGTCAAAGATCAGGGTAGTTGCGGTAAGTTTTCTACTGGATCTAACCATCGTTTTTAGTTACTCTGATCATTATAACATCACTTTGATTCTTTCATAAAGTTTTGGAACTTTTGAAAATGACATATTTACCCCTGCCGGAAATTATGGGTGTTAGTTAGCAAGACAAAAACTCAATAAATGAAATAGATATAGTACAATAATTTAACAAATCATCATGTGTATAGGTCATTACTTTATAGCCTAGTTGTTTGTGCTTGTGTATTGTTTTGTCCGAAGCATAAAGATGAGGTTTTATTTGGTTACAAAATCTTAAATTTGTTCATTTTGGTTATGGAGTTTTGTTATAAGGCTTATTTATGAATCTGATTAACTATAAACTCATTGATTTTCGTAGTCCGAATTATGTTAGAAATTGCACATTATTTTTTCCTCATTACAGAACATTGATATTATTATTAGTAGATGTGTTCTGTTTGATGATAATGGTTTATTGTAAGCTGATGTTGATGACTTATGATTGGTAATGAAGGGAGTTGTTGGGCATTCTCAACCATTGGAGCAGTGGAGGGGATTAACCAGATCGTTACCGGAGACCTAATAACCTTGTCTGAACAAGAGTTAGTCGATTGTGACACTTCATACAACGAAGGTTGTAACGGAGGTCTCATGGACTATGCTTTTGAGTTCATTATCAAGAATGGTGGAATCGATACAGACAAAGATTATCCTTACAAGGGTGTTGATGGAACTTGTGACCAGATCAGGGTAAGTACATTGGTTTTCGTTTTGACAATGAATTACATTTGATTATTAATGTAACTTATGATTCTTATAGCAATCCTTTTGTGGGTTTTATTGTTGCAGAAAAACGCTAAAGTTGTCACAATTGATTCATATGAGGATGTTCCCACTTACAGCGAGGACTCGTTGAAGAAAGCAGTTGCTCATCAACCCGTTAGCGTCGCCATTGAGGCTGGTGGTCGTGCGTTCCAGCTCTATGATTCGGTACAAATTTAACCATCTTCTCATTAGGTGTTTGATAGTATGTTAATTTTTATCTATATACATCCATTTTATTCTTCTTTTGTTATTTGTAAACACCAAATACAAACGGAAGAAGAAACTCTGTTTGGTGTTTGCGTTTACACTTTACAAAAAGAATTCGACTAAAAACTTAAAAACTGTTATTAGTTTTTGAAAATATGAAGTTTTATTCATATGTAAACGCAGAAATTGGCACTATTTTTGGTCTCAAAATGTCATATTGGTACACACCTTTGTTCTAATGTATTGATGTGTTCTTTTTTCTTTGAAGGGTATATTTGATGGAACTTGTGGAACACAACTAGACCACGGAGTTGTGGCTGTTGGATACGGAACTGAGAACGGCAAAGACTACTGGATTGTGAGAAACTCATGGGGTAAAAGCTGGGGAGAGAGTGGATACTTAAAGATGGCGCGTAACATCGCATCTTCATCTGGAAAATGTGGAATAGCGATTGAACCTTCATACCCGATCAAGAATGGCGAAAACCCGCCAAACCCGGGACCTTCACCTCCATCTCCCATCAAGCCTCCAACCCAATGTGACAGTTACTACACTTGTCCTGAGAGCAACACTTGTTGTTGTCTTTTTGAGTATGGCAAGTATTGCTTTGCTTGGGGATGTTGCCCACTAGAAGCAGCCACTTGCTGTGATGACAACTATAGTTGCTGCCCTCACGAATACCCGGTTTGTGACCTTGATCAGGGAACCTGTTTATTGGTAAGTTCTGATTCTCCCACTTTCAATAACACATATCAAAATAGTAAAATGCTTGAAACTCACCTAATCTTTTTTGGGAATGTGTCATTTGCAGAGCAAGAACAGTCCATTTAGTGTTAAGGCCTTAAAGCGTAAACCCGCAACGCCATTCTGGTCACAGAGCAGAAAGAACATTGCCTAAAGAGACCAATGAATATTGCTTCTTCAGAGAGAACTCTGACTCACATGAGAGAAGAGATCTCTCTGAAGGGATTTATCAGATGCTTTTTAATGTTGTTGTTTATGCCATAACTAGATACATAAAAATGCAGCTTTTGGGTTTCGTGTATATAAAAAAAGCACCCTAAGTTTCATTCAGTTTCATAGCTGGGTTTCATTGATACAGTAAATTTATTGTTAATTCAAGAAAATTTAATATTTATGTTATGGTCCTGTGAAATGAAGTTCCACATTTTTTTTCCTCTTTCAAAAACGCCAGTTTATTAAGATCTCAGTAGGAGGCTCTCCTCTAGAGAAACCTAAACCGGCACCAATGTGCTTACTTGGGAAAAAAAAATAGAACCTTGTGTTCTTTTCTTTTTAGCTAGAAAATCGGTACAGACATTGATACTATGGGAATATAATGTAAAAAGATGGGAAAGAAAGTCTTAACAACTTAAATTGTTGTATCTTAACCCCAAATGTCGACCACTATGAAGGATTATCAATAATCGATATTATGTCGGAGCAATCAGCGGCAAAACCAATATTAGTCTTCGATACCGTGATGAAGCATTCTATAGCCCATATAAGGGTCTCAAATTCTGTTTGGAGTGGTGATAATCTACAATGGGAGCTCTGCATTCTCATATGAAGAGGTATACTTCTTTCCATTACAATCCACCCATGTCCACTTAGGGTTTCATATGTTTGCCATGAGTCATCTATTTGACATTTTGTCCTGGTAGTTTCCAAAGACATAGGGGCCGATTGGTAACGGCTGTTACTTTTGACTGTAGAGACTTTCGCTGTCAGGACTTTGACTTAGAAACTTTGACTGTAGAGACTTTGACTGTCGAAACTTTGGCTGTTAAAATCTGATTGGTAACGAAAAAAACTGTTGAAACTGTAACTATTATTTTTGTTATTATTAAATATTTTTTATAATAATAAATTATGATAAAAATGAATTCATTTGACAAAATAATGGTAAAAATAAATTTTTTAATGATAAAAAGTTTAGAAAAGTAAAAAATTTATTAATAAATGAATATATAAATATTCTCATATTAAATATTCCTTAGTTTAAAACATTCAAATTGGATCTCAAAATAACAGAAAAAATAAAATTAGAATTAATCAATAGAAATTATTCAATAATAAAATAGGAATAGTCTTAAAACTAGTTTTTAAATTAGATGGGGAAAGAAGAAAAAGAAAACTTTTGATTTTATTATTCATTTTCGAGTTAAAGTCATGTTTAGGAGGCTTTAGAAAAAAAACTGAAAAGAAGAGTAAAAAAATTGAGGGTGAGAGACTTTAAAGGCTTTAAAAATTAATAAAGTCTTAAAAGTTTGATTGGTAAAAAATTGACTTCGAGAACTTTTAAATCTTGTAAAGTCTTCAAAGTCTCTTGCCAATCAGGCCCATAATATGAGTAGATGACTATATTGAATCCTCATGGAGGTCCTCTTTTCTATTTCCCTCCCTCCATGCAGTCGCTTCTTGGGAGGCAAATATTTTTAGTTTGAAAATGGTCAAATTTTTCCTTTCACATTCTTATGAAATTTTCACGAATTTTTCTACAATCTTTTTAGAAAGAAATTTCATACGAAATTCCTACCAATATCAATTTCTTACGGGATATTTCATCCAAGCTGTTTTCGTAGGAAAACGGTAGGAAAGACTTGTTTCTTATGATTTTTTTACGGTTATGGCCATAGAACAAACGAGGCTTTTCTTTTATAAGGAACTCACACCCATGGTATCTCTATTTAAGTTGTTCAAGTTTCTCATAATAACTACGTATTAAGTACCTCAAAATTTAAAATATAGATGGTTCTTTCCGAATGTTCAAACTACTATGGCACAGAGGCTCCGCCCAAAAGGAATGGTAGAGGGGGCAATGGCCCAGAAGCCCATGTAAGTTTTTAAAAAAAATTAAAAGAGTTCAAATATTTTTTTTTTTTTTTTGTCGGCCTTTTTCCATTAAAGGAAACCCAAACTTGGGCTTACAAGTGGTGGGTCGAAGCCCAAATCCCCTACATTTGCAACTTTGATTGAGCCTTACAACAGTTTATCCCAACCCAAATATAAAGATTAGAAAAAAAAAAAAAAAGTGCCACGTATTCTATGGAGAACACGTGAGAAGGGGAGATGATGACACGTCGACGCCGGCCAGTTCCACGATCAGACAACAGCTCCGCCGCTTGACTTCCGCAATCCCACACCACGAACTCTTTCTATAGATCCTCCACTGCCAATCAGACTTGATTTCACAGTTACCATACTTTGAGGTTCCAGATCTTCTTCCTCTCAACCCATACTCAACGAAGGAAGCTCCACCGCCGAAGACCTGATTTGAGGTCCACTTCGCAAAACAACGAAGACAAATTGGTGAAGATATTACTCCAACTTTTGAGAAGAGTCAAGCTGATGGTTGAAACATGAGAAACCAAACGATAGCCAACGAGATTCGAGATGAAATCCTATAGAAAGAGAAGAAAACAAAACAAAAACAATCCGACAAACTAAGCCGGAGATTATTAAATCCGCCAAAGCGGAAGGAAAGATCCGACGAAAGTCAGAAGTTATAAACAACAAAAAACCGGATAACACCAGAGGTTGAATTCCGGTGAACCGGAAATCTCCATCTCTCTCTAAAAGATAAGGTCTCTTAAGAGAGAGAGAGGAGCTTATTTTAGAAAGTTTTCACATTCTGATATGGTGGTTTTTGTAAGTGTTCAAATATTTTTTTAAATACACATAAAAGGGGCCCAACTTTTTTGTAAGAAAAGATTAAATCGAAAAATTGATTAAAAAATGTCCAAATTTTACTTTTTAAAAACAAAAATTATATTAGTTTACTTAAAAAATACATAAAAGATTAAAAGGATCAAAAAACTTTTTTCCCAAGGGACCCTATTTAAGTTGGGCTGGGAAATATCATCTAATTAACTTGTACTAAATTCTCAATTCATTTGTTTTGTCCATTATTTTCTTCATTAATTAGCCCAAAAAATAATATCACACCATTTAACCCTAGAGTTAAAAAAAATCAATATATATATGTAAAATGTTAGTACTACTTTTTGGGTGTAAAATCTGTGAGTACACCAACAAAGAGAACCATTTTGTTATTTTTTTGGGCAAAGATAACCATATTGTTAAAACTTAAAAAAAAAAAAACAAATGACAAACAATTTTATAACTAAAATGTCACAAACAAACAGAATTAACCGAAAAAAATAAATAAATAAACAATTTCACTCTCTAATGATAATGAAAACTGTAAGCAACAGTTTCTTCCACAAACTAATTCCACAACCTTACCCTTTAAACCAACGCTCAATCTCACTAACCGACAAAACCAAAATCCAAAATCGAAATCAAAATTCTCCTCTCCGCAGACGACGACGACGACGACCACCGGAGACTTTCGTGGATGGGCCAATCAACCTCCGCCGCCAGCAATTCCATCCTCAATCGACGACGAAGCAAATCGTTTTCTCTGAAATTTCCAATGGAATCAATAATCGAATCTGAGATTTCACAACCTGACTACACATCGTGTTTACCTGACGAGTGCTTAGCTTTGGTGTTCCAGTTCTTAAACTCCGGTAATCGGAAAAGATGTGCTTTGGTTTGTCGACGGTGGATGATCGTTGAAGGACAGAATCGTTACCGTCTTTCTCTCCACGCTCGTTCAGATCTGATTACTTCGATTCCTTCTCTCTTCTCTCGATTCGATTCCGTTACTAAGCTTTCGTTGAAATGCGATCGTAGATCTGTAAGTATCGGCGACGAAGCGCTTGTGAAAATCTCTCTCAGGTGTCGGAATTTGAAGAGACTTAAGCTTAGAGCTTGCCGTGAGCTCACCGATGTAGGTATGGCTGGTTTTGCTGAGAATTGTAAAGATTTGAAGATTTTCTCTTGTGGATCTTGTGATTTTGGAGCTAAAGGTGTGAAAGCTGTGCTTGATCATTGCTCGAATCTCGAGGAGTTATCGATTAAGCGTCTTCGTGGATTCACTGATATAGCTCCGGAATTGATTGGTCCTGGTGTTGCTGCTTCGTCTCTTAAGTCGATTTGCTTGAAGGAGCTTTATAATGGTCAGTGTTTTGGTCCGGTGATCGTTGGTGCTAAGAATCTTAGGTCTTTGAAGCTTTTTAGGTGTTCTGGTGACTGGGACTTGCTTTTACAAGAGATGGCTGTTAAGGATCATGGTGTAGTGGAGATACATTTGGAACGGATGCAAGTGAGTGATGTAGCTCTTACTGCGATATCGAATTGCTCTAGTCTCGAGATTTTGCATCTTGTGAAGACACCGGAATGCACGAATTTCGGATTAGCTGCGATTGCAGAGAAGTGTAAGCTTTTGAGAAAGCTTCATATAGATGGATGGAAAGCGAATTTGATTGGGGACGAAGGGCTTGTGGCTGTGGCTAGGTTTTGTTCTCAGTTACAGGAGTTGGTACTAGTTGGAGTGAATCCGACGACGCTAAGTTTAGGAATGTTGGCTGCGAAATGTTTGAATCTTGAAAGATTGGCACTTTGTGGTTGTGATACGTTTGGTGATCCTGAGCTTTCTTGTATTGCAGCGAAATGTCCGGCTTTAAGGAAATTATGTATCAAGAACTGTCCGATTTCGGATGTGGGAATCGAGAATCTTGCAAACGGATGCCCTGGTTTAACCAAAGTGAAAATCAAGAAATGCAAAGGAGTTCTGGGCGGGTGCGCTGACTGGTTAAGAACGGTTAGGCCTATGCTTTTGGTGAACGCAGACACCGTGGAACCAGAACATCAAGAAGAAGCAAGCAATGATGCTGTAGGAGGATTGCAAGAAAACGGAATCGAATTCCCTCAATTGACCAGCCAGATCATGGCACCAAGCATTGCGTCAAGCAGTAGAAGCCGGTCAGGGTATTTCAAATCAGGCATTGGACTGTTCAGCGGAATGAGTCTAGTAGCTTGCACTTCGAGACAACGACGGGCAAGCAGGTGATTGGCTGCCCTCAGCCTATAATACAGTGTTCATTACTTGATCATGATGTTTCTTACAAATGAAATTGTATATATATGTCGGTAGATTGTTTGTTTCATTACTCAAATTGAATATTACATCGTTACTGATCTATCACGTTGCCAACACTTTATAGAAACATCACATTCGCAATATGGTTACCGAAAACTGAAGACAAATCAAGACTCCATTATCTGTAACTTCTTCGGTTATAACTCTTAGAACTAACAGTGTTCTCCTCCAGGTTGTAGAAAAAACATTGGTCGGATAAACGGCTTCGCGACAAACCAATTTCACTTGTATCAGTCGCTCCAACAATGTATGTATAACTCGTTCTACGCAGCTGTATTCTTCCACAAAGGCGGCAAAACGCAGATAAGCTTCACCCATTCTTGCTTCATTGCATCCTCAAAAACTCACAGCTCACAAGGATAAAGGTGATGTGGCTAATATTTTTCTAGGTAAAATTTGTTTCTCAAGTCTAGGCAATCTTGAAGTGATACATATATACTTTAAAACGCAGTAGAAGTAGAAGATCAACAGTAAGGAACATAATATGAAGAAAGAATAATCAAATCAATGTCATTGAGAGTTTAGACAACATCCAAAGCAATGGATCATAAAAGTGGAAATATAGTAGAGTTAGAAACGATCAAGCGAAGAAAACTAATAGAACCAAACCCAAACCCGTGATCAGCCTCAATGTTGTTGCAGAAACATCATATTCTCAACATAATTTGTGAAGGTTAATAATGATTCCTTGTCTTTGGTTCCTTTGATTTCAAGTCTTCTAACACTCTTACTCTCCAGATTGTAGTAGATAACATATAATGGTTGTTTCCAACCACTTGATGATGCCCAAACAAGTTCTCCAGTATCAGTTGCCCATATTGAGTTTTTAACTTCCTCCGAAGTATATGGCAAAACATACTTGTGCTTTGACCATTTAACTTTCTTGGTGTCATCTAAAACCCATAGCTCAGCACATGTACTATAATCAGACCACAGTAGGACACCTAACTTTCCCTTGTATTCTAAGAGAATCGAACTCCATACCTCTCTAAGTTCTGTTTCTATAAAACTAAATTTCTCGGACCTAACATCAAAGCATACTATTATCGCGGTACCATTGTACCTATTTTTCATCGAAGCTATGTAATATAAAACTCCATTGATGCATATCCCATTTTTCTCTTTCTGAGGATCATGCGGAAAAGAACATTCCATCTTTCTCCACAATAGCTCTCCAGTCCCTAATGTCAGAACTTGATATTGCTCGTTGGAGGTTATTTGTTGTCTATAAAACTTGCTCCAGCACAAAACCTTGAACTGTTTCCGGATTGGATCATACCCGAAAAAGCATTTCAATATAACATTCCCTGTTCCCACTTTAGGTAAAGTTATGTGCTGACCCGTGCAAGGGTTACATACCTCATCGTTCAAATAGATAAATCCATTAACTGATTGACAAATTTTGTTGTTCCAACTTCCAGAATAAACCTTACGATACTCTGTTGCTACAACACTAAAGTTATTACCAAAATTTTGAGGCTGAGGGGATGAGAAGAAGTGCCACTTGCTGCCATATATGAAGGTGAACAAAAGACGTGGTCGAGGCGGTGACTTTGTGAGGAAAGATTCAGTGAAATCTGGACGTTGAAGTATGGAAGCCCATTCCTTCGACACAAAACGACATATTGCGATTGAATTCACAGGTAATCTTGAGACTATCTCGATGATGAGATCGATGGGAAGTGTCTCTCTTACATACGTTGAGACCGATGATTGTGTGTTGCGTCGGACGATTTTACGGGGATTCATTGAATCGTTCTTCTGTCTGTTCATGGCGTCTTCGTTACTTGGAATGCTTTGCTTTGCTCCACGAATACAAAGTTACTTGGGGCAAAAGTTAATCGCATGATACGATTTTACGAAAAAGAGGAAGGTAGGTTAAAAAAAAAAATTCTGATATTTACCATAATCTTTTATTTCTTATAACGCTTTTCATCAACCGAATTAGGGTTTTCCTAATACTATCTTGGCTTTTACCATAATCTGTAAATATTGAATTTCTATTTAAATAACCCTTGATATTTTTAAGTATATACATCAAAAACTTCTTTAATTACTAAAATGACTAGTTATATAGTTACGTCAAAATATTTTAAATAGTTATGTCAAAAATCAAACACATTTTAATTATTGAATATTTTCAGTGACGATTTTATTTTATTTTATTACAATTGTTTTATAGTTAAAAATATCAAATTTATTGATCAACAAAGTATAATTTATTTACAAGGAAGAAAAATATTTTTTAAAAAACAACGAAATTGGAAACACTGGAAAGAATATAAGAAACCGAGCTAAAAAGTTAAAAAAACTATGACCGGGGGACTTGAACCACCACTAGAGAAAAAGTGCAAACTTTCGTGAGTCATGTTAGCTTTCTCTGCTCCGAACTACTCAATCAATTATCAATATATCAAATTATATGGCTAGGGCCTAGGAGGTAATGCAATTTCTTGTACGTTCATTTCAAATGTGATAACTCGTTGCTTGGAAGGCTAACTTGAAAAGGTCTTAGACGCCGTATGATTTTATAGTTGAATTTTACTCCACCATATTCTAGTTCCAACTCTAAAATAGAGATCTAATGTAAACTGAAAATAGAGATCTCCAAATCTAGAGTAAAAAATATAAGTCTCTATTTTAGAGTTAGAATTAAGTAGGATAGGGTTGAAGAGATTTTTGCTATGAAATAGAATTTAGAGGAAAATATAGAGTGAGGTTTGAGATGGTCTTAGACGCCGTGTACCACTTCACCAACAATGTCTACCAATAAGTAATCAATAGTCTGTCTACAATAGGATTGACTTACCGTTGCGAATCTTAGACATTATAAGCCCTGCTGCTTGATCACATAGTTTGAACAATTTCTCCAAATCCAAGATCTTTTTATGCATTTTTTGCATCCCAAAAACCGCAGGTCGAGCTTCAGTTTCCAGTGGTTGGGCTATGCTTGAGGACGGCCAATGATCCAGAAGGTATCATCCTCTGTCTCCATTGTGTGGCTTCGTCTCATCTGTCAGAGAAAGAAGCGTTTTGAATGGTGTTTTGGGGGCTTCGACGGAGCTCCGACGCTGTGCAAAGGCAGCTGTTGTTGGTTTTTCGATTCCAAGTCATTGAAACCTCAACCACTCATGCTTCTCTCCATCATATAGGTTTCATGGCAATTGCTTTCAGGTTTGCTTCTTTCTGGTCTTCCGCAACGTAATTGCTAGGTGATTAGAACGGGTGGCTCTATGATGGGTCGCATCTGCTTGAGGACAGCAGCAGGTCTGATTGAGAGTGGCCATTGTGGTGCGTTCGTCAAGTGTGGCATCTCGTTTTGGATGATCCTTTTGGTCTTTCCTGAAGCTACAGTGATGTGTCCTTGGAGATATTATCGCTATCTGTGGTGGCTTTTACCGTCTCCAGTTTGATCGCATTGCTTGTATATCTTGTCTCGTTGATTTGTTTTAAGGCCCTGATCTTGCTTGTGTCTTGCTATTGATGTTGTTGTGAGTTGAGGTCTTGCGTTGCAAAGCGTTTTTGCTTTCGTTACGTTTGCACTGCACACTAGAGATGCTAGTAAGACTAATAGTGTTCGGTGTGGTTTTTATATATTTGCAAATTCTAGCTCTGTTCTAGCTGACTTCGGGGAATGAATTTGGTAGAGTGAGCTTGCACCGTTCGCAATATTTGGTTTGTGAGGTTCCATTTTGAGATAGCTCATGGAATCGTTCGACGAGCCGCTCTCACATGACTTGGGAGGAGTATGTGATCGAGGGCTCTGAGTACCCTACCGTTGACGGCTCAGTCTCGGCCCTCCAGTGAAAGGTTTCTAGTGTTTGTGTTTCTAGTCACATTTTTTTTTTGTTGCTAAAAATGTAAATATTTCATTAAAAATGTCGGTAATTTGCTTTTGCCCTTCGTCTCGAGCATCAAATTTGGGAAGAACAATACAATCGTCATCACTTCATCTAACTCTATTAGTTTGTGCTTTTGTTGAGTGGATAGACTGAAAATTTGTTAATGAATTATGCTTTCATGTTTTTTTTTAATCTTTTTTACCATGAGACTATTTGTATATGTCTATAATCGTTTGATTGTAAACCTAAAATGTTTTCATTTTTAATGAAATATTTACATTTTTAGCAAAAAAAAAAAAAAAAAATTCCGACAACATGCACTTGTTGGTAAAACCGTCAAAATACTTTTCTCAATGGCTTTAACAAAAAAACATTTTCCAATGGATTTCCGAAGACTATTTATGTAAATTCAATATTTATATTAATCATTATTGGATAATATTCGATTTTAATATTTTAAATTATAAGATATGATCAAAATAAAATAATAATAAAACTGATTAAAAATGAGAACAATGTATTTAAAAGAAAACAATAATGGTTTAAATTAAAGACAAAAGTTAACTGGGCTTGATTGGTTCTCCCGCTACCACCCGCAAACGCTGCGTTTGCGGGCGGTTGCGGTTTCTAGCATTTAAAACCAATCATAAAAAACGTTTTAAACCGTTTTGAACCGCTTTAGACCGCTCCGAACCGCCGAATTCAAAAGCTCCTTCCCGCAAGCGTTTGCGGTTGCGGGCGGTAGCGGTTGGCAAATTTTTTTTTTTTTAAATTCAAATCCTATATATAATAAAAAATACATAAACAACAAGTAAATTAAATTTTTTTATCAAACCCTATATATATTAACGTTAATTCTCAAAACCCTAATTTTTTTCTTTTTACCAAAATTATAGCGTCAATCTAAACTCAAGAATGAAAAAATACGAACTAAGTATTGTAATAAAATTATTAATCCAGAGGATCTAAGAATTCAAAATATCTATTTTTTTAGTTTGTCATATTATTTGTTGAGAAATTGTTAAAAATGCCCCTTTTTCAATACCCCTTTTCAAAAATGCCCCCTTTGAGAGTCCATTTTTAAGTTTGCCCTCTTTTAATTTTTAA